GGCAAGTAAACAGAGATTTGTCAGGTCCTCTTGAAATAATTTCTTAACAAGCATTTGTACTTACACAATCTTTGGCCCCATCTTCTCCTGTGTAATGGTAGTTTGGGAAGTAGGTTTTGTTGGGTAGCATAGTTGCCAACTCTATGTAACAAAGTTTGAAAATAATTTTCCACACCGATATGAAAAATGTGACTGATAGGAGATAAAGGAGCTACCTGCATTGTGTTTCCAAACATATTTGTTACATCCAGTCTGAAGTTTTGAGGAGRTGTTTGGTGGTGGTTTGGATTTCTGGTTGGATTTTTTTTTTCAGAATTCCTTCTTTATTTGTGCTTGTGCAGGGTTTACAGTGAACACTCATGATCTATAGGCTAGCACGCTAGATATTTTCTCAAATTGTTTAATTCAAATTTAATTAAACTTTCAGATTCATTCTACCTACACTTCTTTGTAACACTTTTAATACAAAAACACTGTCATTTTGACCTCTCATTGTTTACTTTAACACCTGAGATAACTTGTCAGTTCTATTTTATTTTCTGCTTGATATGGCAGTATTTGCAGAGATTTCTGGTTTTTTCTCTAAAATATTTAGAGATCTAGGTGTAAATTAAGAGAAATTACTGAATAATTTGATGGCAAAATGAAGACCACTTACCTGCATCCCTGCCCTTTAGTGTTGTGTAGTGGATATATACACACAGAGTATGTACAAGCAGGGCAGTCAGGCTGATAGGGGGCTATGACAGCAGTCCTGACAGTGCCAGAGCTATGTATAGCATTTTGTTTGCCTTTGCTGTGTCAGAAAATGTTATTTTCTCCTTTTTTTCTTTAAAGATTACTGCTGTTGATCCACGATCAACCTCCACATTGATGCATTATTCTGATGAGTAAGGCAAGTTGTGTAAGGAGATAACTTTTACAAGGCTGCAAACCAATGCAGGTGGAAAAGCAGGCAGACTTTTAGGGGTGCCTGTAAGACTTTATTTCAAAATGGCAGCTGCAGATTTTTTAAGTAGAARTTTAGAAAGTATTCTCTGAAATCAGTTAATTACTTGGTTCTGCAAAAGAGAAGTGGTTTCTTCTTTCAGAGAAAAGGGATAGTTAGGAGGGAGAAAGGTGACCAGGTCATTWACCCTTCTGCCAGGAGAAGGCATAATTTAAAGATGGTGGTTGTGGTGAATTATGCATTGATTAAATCCATTCTTTATCCTGAAAATGTCTATTGACAGTCAATATCACATTTCTGTCAGATTGACACTGCTGTGCTTAAAAAACCCATTTCTTTTTCATGTAATCACCTGTGAGTTTTTGCTTATTTCCAGTAGACACTGCTGTCTATATATGTATTTCAATGCACAGACAGCATATAAAACTTTAAATTCAGTTACCCATGTGTTTCAGCTKACTATTGTACAGCAACAGCAGGATTAGCACTAAAGAAGCAGTATAATTTCATTGTAAAGCATTTTTTGCCCAAATTACTTCTGAAACTAGAGTTGGATTCACATTTGTCATACTCAAAGATTTTTTTTCCTTGAAGTACAAAATCTCAAAAAACCTGAACATGTYGTTTTCAAGTTGAATTTGTAGTATGCTCACAAATGTCTTTATTAGTTGGTGGAGGTGGTTTGGGTTTGCATGAGAGATTTGTCAGGCATTTCAYGTTTCTGCCTCAGAGTTGTAGCGATTTCCTTTTTTAGTGAAACAGTGTCAAACTTGGCTGGCCATTAGCAGTATTCTGAAGCTGAGGGTACATTAAGCAGACTTCATTCCATGCATTGATGAGGATGGCCTAAACCTATCAGGGCAATTAATGAATGAGGGCTGCTTTRGAAGATTTTCTTGCGTTKGGTCTGTTTACCCRCTGTTTTCCTAGAAAGCTCTGCARCTCTGAGCTGATCATGAGAACACGRTGTGGTTTATGAATCCAGCACTGCCCTGCTTTTCCACTTAGCAAATGCTCTTACACCCTCTTGAGATAAAGCAGTGGCAGCTCTGCTCTGTGGGAAGCACAGTGCCTCTTGCTAAGTGGCCAGTTCAAATTAGATATGGCAGGAACGCAGATATAAGGGCACTTCCTACTTGACTGGCAGTGTTTAATGGATCCCAAGTGAGAGGAATGATTGCTCTGTGAACAGCTCTGGGAGGGCTGCTAGTTAAGAACTTTCACRCACCTCATTTGGCCTGTTTCCAGCTCAGTAAAAGGGGGAAGGGTGCAGGAGGAATGTGCTTCAAAAGGGGATTTATCCCTGAGCAGTCAAATTCAATTGTTGTATGAAAATCTTCCATTCTTACTTGCTAGATATCTCTGCTTTCTCCTCATCAAGGAGAAGTGGAATGTAATTGTGTTTATTCTATTAAATTTCCCTTCCTACTGTCCTGTATACAGGACAGYATAGTATTCTGCCCAGCTGCAGTTTGCAGTCACTGATTCACAGAATGRGTCAGCTTGGAAGGACCACRGTGGCTTTTCTGGTCCAAGCCCCCTGCTGGAGCAGGGACATTCCAGAGCACTTGGCACAGGATTGCATCAAGAGGGTTCTTGGRTATCTCCAGTAAGGGAGATTCCCCAACCTCTCTGGACAATCTGTTCCAGTACTCAGTCACGTGCCCACTAAAGAAGTTCTTCCTCATGTTCAGGTGGAGCTTCCTTTTTCTGCCTGTTGCCTCTTGTTCCATTGCTCAGCTCCACCAGCAAGAGCCTGGCTCCATCCTCTTGGCACCATCCCTTCCAATACTTACAGATCCTGATGAGGTCCCATCTCAGTTTCTCTTCTGGAGGCTGTACAGGCCCAGCTCCCTCAGTCTGTCCTCATCAGTGAGGTGCTCCAGTCCCTTGATCACATTTGTAGCCCTCCTCTGGACCCTCTGAAGGAGCTCCTTGTCCCTCTTGTCCTGAGGAGCCCAGAACTGGACACTACTGAGTGTGTACTACAGGCTATGTACCAGSATCACCTCCCTTGACCTGCTGGAAATGCTCTTCCTAATCCACCCCAGKATACTCTTGGTCACAGGGGCACCGTRCTGGCTCATGGACAGCTTGTTGTGAGCAGGACCCTGAGGTCCCTCTCTACAGAGCTGCTTCCCAGCAGGTCAGCCCCAGCCTGTGCTGGTGCCTGGRGTKATTCTTCCCCAGGTGCAGGACCCTCCATTTGCCTTTGCTGAATTTCAAATGATTCTTCCCCGCCCATCTCTCCAGCCTGTCAAGATCCCTCGAAAGGGCAGAACAACACTCCAGGGTATCRGCCACTCCTCCCAGCTTTGTGCTGTCAGTGACCATGCTGAGAAGCCATCTGCYCCTTCATCCCMGTCATTGATGAGTAAGTTAAACAATGCTGGGCCCTCCGCTGACCCGTGGAGAATACAACTAGTGACAGGCCTCCAGCTAGATCCAGTGCCACTAATTACAGCCCTCTGCCATTCAGCCACTTCTCCATCCACCTCAGCATCCACTCATTCCATCCTGATAGAACRAAGCATTATTTTCATATCTGTGAGTTCATACCTGCACACAGAGGTTGCCCCAGGGCTGCACAAAGCACTGGGAGTTTTAATAAAGCAAGTGAGCTCTCTCTCTCTCTCTCTGCAGGTTTCTTGCCTGTCTCCTCTACCTTGGCTGCCTCGTAGCTATGGCACCACCCTCAAGTGCTGGTTTAGGCTGCTGAGCTCAGCAGGACACAGAGCCTGACATTAGTTAGCTGCTTAGCCATGCCTCTCAGATCCTCAGGCTCTGCAGAAATTAATCCATGTAAAMCAGTGTTAGAAACAAAGTAAGTGAGCCCTGACAGCCCTATTAAAAGGGGTCGAAGCCAGAGTCTTTGTTGAAAGTAATGCCAGTGCCCTGTTTTGTTGACTCAGAGATTATCTCACTCCTTAYTCATTAGCAGGGTCAGAGGCGCCCTATTGAAAAGATATCCCCAGCCCGCTAACAAACAGCAGGTGCAGCCTCTGCCTGGGAACATGAATAGAGGTTGCCAGGACTCTGGCAAGGTTTCCCAGCTCTCCCTACCCAGCACCTCATTTTATGGAGAGGAGGCCCTAAGCCCAGTTCTTCCCTAATTCTTCATCAGCTGCAAACCTTAGAGTTTTGCATTATTGCGGTTTTGACTATGTGCCCACAAACATCTAGAACAAATGAAGCAGCATTCTTGTGGAAGGTCAGAGCAAGGGATGCCCGGTATGTATTTATGCACTTGAGCTCTAAATTTTTGTATAAAAATGACAAATGGTACTTCAGATGCCTTTTATAGGAACTGGATGATTCTAGTTTGGATTGCATTGAGGAACAATGATTAGATTCAGATTAGGTAAAGTACAATGAAATGTAATAGTACTTCAATAAAGTCCTTTGAGTTTAGTTTGTTATTTTATTGTATAGAATCAGCCTTGTATAATAAAAGTCATTGCCTTTTCAAGACTATAGAGGACTACATCTTAACTATGTAAAAGATTATAAAAARTAGTATTCTAACTTTGTGGTGAAGATACTTCTCTATTCAATTTCTATAGTAGAGATACATTCATCTTAGAACTGTTGTGTTTTGCCATCATTTAAAAGTATTCTATTTAGCACATGTTTATTGCATAGTTAATTTACAGTGAAATGTTTGTTGGCAAAACAAGCCAAAAATCTATGACATTGCCTTAGTTGTGGACAGAGACCTTTTGTCAGAAAAATCTTTTTTTGTTGAACTAGTTGAACTGAAGCACTGYTGGATAATCAGTAGAGTTAATGCATTCAGTTTAATACTGTTTCATTTTTCACCCATATCATCATTGCTTCCCAATCTAATTACACAGCTGTCATCACTATATCCCTTTCCCCAGTGCACTTGGTTTCTTTCTGGATARTTGGTAGGTTATGGGTCAGGAGCACAGGGTGTTCAGGCTTCTTCCACTGTGAAGCTGAACAGRATTGTAATTTAGAGGTTGATATTTGCCTTCATCACTGCTTGGGTCTCAGCCTGTTCCTCACTGTCTCTGCTCTCTTATTTCAGATAATTCAGCCCCTCTTAGAACTTGACCAGAACCGCAGCAAGTTGAAGTTGTACATCGGCCATCTGACAGCCCTGTGCCACGACCGCGACCCCCTGATTCTGCGTGGACTCACCCCGCCTGCTTCCTACCACCTGGATGATGACCAGGCAGCTTGGGAGAAGGAGCTGCAGAAGATGACCCAGGAGCAGGTGAGTTTGTGGTCTACAAGGAGCTGAACTTGCTGATTTAGGCTTTGCTGATGTGCCACACCAAAATGTGAAACAGTTCTGTAAGGCGTGAGAGCAGGTAGCAAAGATGAACTCTTCAGCTGATAAAAGGAGACAATCATTTTTTGAATCATTGCCATTTAATATTTACTATGGAATTTCATCTGGTTTTTTATCCATACTTGAGGCCATGCATCTACACACTCATGGGAAATCAAACGGCAAGATACCACCTTTGCCATATTTTGACTSTTAACAAATTTTAGCTGCTCTCTATAGTAGTCAGCAGGATATTAAATCTTATTTCAATTACATAAACTATTTATATTGTAATTGGCGCTTTTTAATKAATCTCTTTATAGAAATGAATGCAGTGCTCTTACCTGCTGTAAYAGAATATTTGGCCAGTAATTTCTACTGTTTAACACCTTACCTGGATACCAGTATCAAGATTTGTATGAGCTTATATACACACACTTCAGAAATCCAACTCTGTATTTCCAGGAGTTTTAGAATACAGAAYTGAAATGGTTTTATAAGAATTTGGATTACAATGCCAAGTCTTTCACTGTTCACTTTCATATGTTTTATACCAAGCTAGTGTATGGCCTATATAGTTAAGAGGGAATTTGTGGGTCAKTGAACGCTGTCTTGAGCCTCTCTTGAACATTTCAGTCTGGTTTTCTTCCTTTGTAAKGTTAAAGCTAATTTCCTTGAACTTTCAAGTCAAGACTGAATTTTGATTGAAAAATTGGAGAGAGCAGCCAAATTGCAGGAAGCCAACAGAAGCATGTCTGAAAATTCAGAAAGAGCRGACCTGTGGAGATAAATATGCCTGTAACAGGGCCAAAATGGTACAAGACAGTCATTATCTSTCTTTGTACCTGTCTTAATGCATTTACTTGATTCAGTATGTGCTGTGTGCCTCCCGTGATATCTACATTTGCCTCCATAGGCATGACACATTCCTTTTCCCTTCAGAGCCTCTTGAGTTCTGTAATCACTAATACTGGATTAAAAACTTTTCAGTTTAATGCGTGCCATCCACATGAGGCATATTATTTTGAACCAYCTTGTCTGTCAGATTGGGATGAAGCAGTGAGTAACAACACCTGTAGCATGCATGGGAGGCATCTCTGAGAACAAGAGCAGATATGGGCAAAGTCTGGATATTCCTGAAATAAATTGCCTCATTAGTTATAGCTCTGGTGGTCTTTCGTCTGTAGTCAGAATCTGTGGGGATAGGTGGTATTTGCTATTTGATCAAGAGATGTGGGTAAAGAAAATAGGAAAGGCTTTTTTTGTCAAGTTCTGCTGAATAGACAGTCATCCTGAAAGTAATTTTTCCCATCACAACTTTGCTAGTCCATTAGCAACATTTATGGCTTAAACTGTAAAAAAAGCATTGTGAAAAATTGTGAGAAAAAGGGATTACCTAAGGTAGAGAATAAAAACGTATTCTTTTTCTATTCTCTCACATTATTGTCTTAATTCTTCACTCCTGTCACCACAGTTGTTTAAAGTTACTTCTCCATTCATGATTCCCAAGCATAACTAACCTCAGCTTAAATAAATTGTAGCTGTGTCTTCTRCTTTCCCATACTGACTTAGATGGTATTTAAGAAGCTTCAGTTGCAAACACAAACTTAATGATATATTTCAATTTASAAAGCAGACTTTTCGTTTAAGCCATGGAGCTTTTCTGTTTCTAGCTGCAGAGTTTCCTTTGTGCTTAAAGTATTCCCATGGGGGGTGGGAATCAGTTCTCCAGATTTGCAAAAGCCCATCACAGAATACCCATTTTGCATCTTTGGTATTTTAATGAGTTTTGTAAATTACTTCAAATCCAGTGCATTAAATTCACTCCTGTCCCTTCTAATACGATCTTCTGTAGATAATGGTTCACAAGCCTCAGTGGGAAAAAATTAATCCTCTTGAATGTTAAGAAGTGCTAACATGATTAGGGAGGATACATTTAACCAAACACCAATAATATTTAAGAATGATTCCAACATATCCASTTCTCACCAATGAGATTACCTAGTTTGGTTTGGTTGTTCTGGGTTTTTTTTTAATAAATAGTTGAGAATTTATGTTCGTACTTCTGCGTTTGAAGCTGTTATTTCCCACTGCAACAGTTTTATTGACAAAGGTTGGTTTGCTGTGTTTCATCATAGCCAAGATACTTGGTTGATCTCTCATACCTTCTGGGGAGGCTCAGGTACAAACAGAAGGGGTTTTCTGTGGCTTTTTTTGGTAAATAAAACCAGTATATGGACACATCCTCAGTGACCCACAGAAACTAATGTATAAACAATTGTTAGAAAAGTATCTGCCAGCATCAACACCATGGATCTGAGGGGAATTTGCTGCCACAGAAATAATCTTTTAGAGTCTCAAAGAATCTCAAAGTTTGACTGATAATTGGTACCTCTGTAATAGTGCCTTTASACTACCATTAAGTTCAGTGATAGTCCTCCGTGACTTCAWCTGATTRCAGATTATGCTGASTTGGAAAGGACCCAYRCAGATCATTGAGTCCAACTCAGTCCTGCACAAGACATTGCCAGGAATTACACCAGGAGCCTGAGAGCATAATCCAAACACTTCTGTAACTCTGTCAGTCTTGGGGCTATGATCACTTCCCTGGGGAACCTTGATGGTAATCAAGCYACAGGGCCAAAATGCTATATCATTCTTCACTGGCATTTTATCAGACATTTTGTAAGGCTGACTTATTGTAGTAAAATTTTGGTCCATTTGTAATGAAGGCCTGAAGCCAGWACTTACGAGGATATGGTGTCTCAAAACTTAATCTCAAATAATATGCTAGACTTAAGTTGTGGTCAGTAAAGAATCTAAAGTGCTCAGAACCATGTCATTAAATTATTCCTATGATGAAAAATATCCCTTTGAGTTAGTTCTGACCCAATGTCCCCAAATAAGCTAGCCAGTACTGTTTCTGGAACTGTCATCCTTCAACCAGTTCATGTCTAATTTAACTTTTCTTAAAAAAATGAAGTTACCAGAAGGAAGGAGGAATGTTACAAGTCTGGACACTAAGAAATAGAAAATCCACTCACTCATTATAAATAATTGCATTATCCCAGAAATTTCTATTAAATACAATATATTCTTTCACTTTGTCCTAGAGATATCATTATGTTAATATCCTTGGCTCTGCAAAACTACTGCTACATTTTGTGTTTCAGATAGTTGCYTTTTAGTTGGAGGATTTTAGTCCTGAATGAAAGGAAATGGCATTAAGAACATAATTATATGGTCCACATTTTTATTTATAGTTTGGGTTTTGTTTTGCTCTTGTCCTTACAAAATRTAAGAATGGAATAGAAACTGGAATTTGCTGAAAATCTTGGCTTAAATGTGTCAGAGGTGGTGCACTGCACTGGGGTTGAGAGGCAGCAGTGTGAGAAAATAGAAAGAGCCAACAAAACTGAACAACCAGGTATTAGAAGTAGGCAGCAGTGTTGATTCTTTAGTAGCTTAAGGACTATTAGAAATCTTTCTTATCAACTCAAAAATCCAGATGTAAATGTGCAGAACGTTGTAGTATGGAGAATTTCTTATTTTCAAGAGGTCCTGCCATGACATTTGGAAAATATATTTCTACCAACAGCAGATTTATACAWTTAAAATAATTTTCTTAACCCTAAGAGTAGGTGGCATTTTTCTCCYTGGCTCCCTGCTATGAGAGGTTCTTTCCAGCCATGTCCAGCACATCCTGGCTTCCTCAGGCTGCTGGGGGTCCTGCCATTTCTGCTGGCCCCCAAGTACCATTTTCTTCCCCACACAATTGATCTAACCCTCCTTCCACAGAGTTCTTTCTGGCAGCATGGGCGTTGTGACCTGGGCAGATGCATTTCCATCAGTGGCTCTGTCAGAAGTCACCTGCTTGTGGGAGCTTGGCCCACCCCACCACCAAAAGTGTTGCACCTTCACTGTGAGATACAGAGAGAGGCACTTCTGAAAAATCTTTATGATCATCAAAGAGACTTCATAGTGTGGAAAGGTTGTCTTGCCTCTCCCTGTGCACCAGCCTCAGCCAAGGCACAGGCTTTCTAGGGATTCCTACTTCCAAATCCTCTCCCAGGAAATCAGGAATGCCTTTTCTGCTCAGCTRCTCGAAGCAGAGGAAGGAAAAAGGTGATAATGTCACTTCACTGTATCAGTCACAATCTCCTGTGTTAGCTAAATAGTCATGGCTTGGTTCCAAGGAGCATAATTTACCTTGCACTTAATTCACATTTCAGTCTCCACAGAGTAATGTTAAGCTTTTTGTACAAAAAGACACCAAACCTTTTATCTGTAGCTGTCAAATTCCTTTTCAAAATTGCATCTTTGCTTGCTAAGTTCTGAAAATATTAAGCACATAGTTTGATTTGTTTCATCTTCAGTGGGCTAAACTACTCTAAATTATAAACAGCAATTTTATAAACACCCCATGTACTTCTTTGTACACATTCTGCATGTGTTCTCTGTATCATCTATGAGGAATTACTCAATTTACTTAGTTTCTGTAAAGGAATTACTTTGCTATGATTTGCATTTAGTCATTCTAAATTRCTCTATTACTTCAGAGTTTACCCTTGTCTTCCTTCTCTGACTGCTCTTCTATTGGCTTGTTATCTTCCCTCACTTGATTTATGTCATTTATTTTTAATTTGTAATCTTATGGGAATGCATTATGTATTTTAAAGTCAAACAGTCCACTTCTGGTCTCTGTTAGAAATTAGAAGTAATAATTGCAACAATTTGTATCCTTCTTCATGTGYAAATCTGTTTCCTGAGTTTGGGTGAGAAAGCAATGGATTTAGGAATTCTCTAAAATTGTTACATTTTAAACCATTTTAAACTTTTCTGTTTAGTGTTTTGGGTGAGGATGAGAACTTGGATCAAGTTCTTAAAATCACAAACATTATCTGTAAGTTGGCCATTTCYGTAATGCCATAACATCATTCATT